GAAGGGCAGAGCTGAGAGCAAGGCACTGCTCCCTCCAGCACCCCATCCCGAGAGGTGGAGGGGGGCGCTGGACCGGGTTGGTACCCCGCCTGCCTTGTTTGGGGTGTCCTGGGCTGGGGAGGGACAGAGAGAGGGAGGTTGTAGAGTTTCCTTCCCCGAGGCAGGTTTTCCTGGCTTTCAGGACTTAAACCTACTCGGGCTTAGTGAGCCGGAAATCCCTGTCACTGCAAATCCAAGGAGAAGTGCCAAAGCAGAGGCTGAGCCTGTGCCGGTGAGCGGGGGGTGTGTTTGGCAAGAGCTAGAAAAAGCCCTGAAGAAAGTTAAAGGAGGAAATCCAGCCACTTAAGCATTTTGTTCTTATGGGTTTTGACAGCTTTTTTTTTTTTCCTTTTCTTAATAGCTTAGTCTCTCAGAGCCTGCTTCTCACCACCTCCCATCCCTTTGCTCCTTGGGAGCTGCAGTGGTTTCACAGGTGATTAGAAAATGAACCCATCTGCCCTCTCCAGATTTACTGTTATTAATATATGCTGGTTTCCCGGAGAACAGGCTGAGAGAGTAACACAGGGTGTTCACCAAAAATGTGAAGAAGCTCACAGAAGGAAGGCTGTGTACCATGGGCTGGGTGTCTGATGCAGGTTTCCCTTGTGGGACTGGCACCCCTTTGGGACCAGCCCAGGAACTGCTGTCCTGTTCTCAAGTGGGGGGTTCCTGCAAAAATCCACTTTCTTTAAGGTTTTGGGGAGAAGCAGGGTGTGTGTGTGTCACCCACCCATGGCAGTGTTGGTGCTGGGGAGGGTGTGGGACAGCCAGGGGCTGCTGGGCCCCCCCCCACCGTGTCTCCAGCAGTGCCTCTGGAGCAGACCCAGTGCAGGGACAGGGATGAAGTGTCAGCATGGCTGGAAGCAGGAAATCGTTGCTACTGATGCTGGGCAAATGCCTGTTTGTAGTTAAAAGGTTTTTAATGACACAGGAGGAGAGAGCATCACAAGGCAGGTGATCACTGGAAGTGCTGGTTATTGCAGGTGTGGAGCTGGTTCTGCCACCCTCCTGTACCTTGCCCTCATCCAGCTTCACCCCGTTTGGCTTTGGAGAGGGAAACCTCTCCTTCCTCCAGCTATTTGGGCTGTGCTGGAGCAGGCACAGGATGGAGATTTTGACGTAGAAGCAAAGGGGGACCCTTTGGGGCATGGTGAGTTCAAAGGGTGATAGCAAGGAGGTGCAGGGGTGCTGAGCATGCATGTGGCACCTCTGGAACACCAGGGCAGCACTGGGGTCAGGCTGGAGCCTGTGAGCCTCACCAGCCCTTGCTTGGGGTTTTCTCCTTGGCTGCAGCTTTTTGGGAAAGAATGCAGAGAGCCTATACTGGGAGCCAGGAAGGTGTTTTTTGGGGCTCCTCTCCCAAAAGTGTTCGTTGATTGCCCTCACTTGCATCAGTCAGTCAAAGTGTTGGGACGTTGTGGCCCCAGAGCACTTCCCAAAGCCCTGGGACTTGGCAAAGGGGAAACTGAGGCACGGAGTATTTGTGTGTCCTGAGCAGCTGCAAAGCTGCTCTGGCCCTGCTATCAACTGCTCCCAGGTGCAGTGAGAACTGGGGACTGTGTCCCTCCTCACTGCTGGTCCCCTTCTGGAAGGGAGCTGAGCAGGGGGACTGCTCCAGGCTGGGGAAGGTGATGTGTATTTTCCCTGCCCCTCTGGGAGGATGGTTCAGCATTTGGCAGCTGAGCTCAGAGTAAATTCCATCCTGTTCAGCTGGTTGGGGCACCTGAGGAGATGGGTACTGGACTGTGGGGGGAATGGGGATGCTGCACTGAAAGTGTGTGCAGAGAGTTTAGTGCTCAGTTTTTCCTGTGGTAACCTGGAAGCTCATCACCGAAATGTATGTTTTGCTTTTAGAAAACCTCGTTTTTCCTCAAAGGTACGTGAACAGGAAAATGTGATCCAGCCCTCCAAAAAATCTTTACTGCTGGATGGAAAATATTTTTTTCACTGTTTTTGAGGGTGTGCTGAGCTGCTTTCCTCACACACATGTGCAGAGCACTTTCCTTGCTGTCAGTTGAGAGCAGTAAGTACTAAGTTCATACTTGGCTCCCAGGACACCTGCAGTGGCCCTGCAGCCTTGTCCCCACCAGCTGGGCTTTTTTGGGACACCCCCTTCTCCCAGACAGCTCCTACAGTGCCTGTCTTCTGGGTTGTTTCTGCCTGTATTTTGGCTGTCTTATAGCACGTGTTGTCCCTGTGCAGGTACCAGTTTGGAAGAGCTGCCACTGTTGTCACTTTTGCTCAGCTTTCTTTCCCTCTGTGTGAAACCCCAGGGTGCTGGAGGCACCAGAGGAGATCAGCAAAGATGTGGCCGCTGTGGGGACTGGACCTGAACCGAGTCCGCTGCGACCTGCACTTCACAGAAGCCATCAATCAAAGGATGCAGGTTCCCAACAGGCTGAAGGTAGCAGAGAGCTGCAGCCCCGTGGAAAAGGAGCGAGTGACAGAGGATGTCCCTCCTTCCTTTCGGATGCACATCCCCGATAGGATTTCTCTTGCAGGTAAAGTCCTGGGCTGTCTGGTTTTTGGGGTGGCTGAAGGTTGGATGGGGCACTACAACATCCTAGGGAGCAGGATCCCTTTATAAAGACCCCAGTCATTTGCTTTGCAAGAGGAGAGGACAGGGACACAAAATGTAGTCAGCTTTCTTCTGGAAGGTAGGACAGAGTGGTGGAAAGGTGCTTGGGAAGAGGTGGACAAAGATGACCAACAGAAGGCAGGAGGGGTCTTCATTCCAAAAGGTGAGGAGCAAAATGTGGAGGCATCTCCCTCCACATCTCTTAGAGTTCCCTGTTGGCCTCTGGTAGGCTCCCTGCTTTGGGGTGCAGGACATTTGACCCTGTCTTTGAAAACCAGCACTGAACCCTTGCTGTCCTGAAGCAGGGGATGTGCCTCCCTGGGCTGTGCTGCTGCTCAGAGCTGCAGGATGAGGTTTTCGTATGTCTGATACTACACATAGGCTTGGCTCTCCTACATGGGTGGATTTCTCTTCCCTCCTCTCCTGGGGCCGTTCGGGTTGGCTTAACTCTTCTCTCTCTCCTTTCTGTAGAAATATCAGATGCCAGTTTGAGGCCGGTCCCGCTGAGCCAGCAGAGGAAGGTCCCCTCTGTTGTGGTGCACATGTCCCCGGACCCCTGTGGGCAGCCCACCCCCCTGGGGGAGCTCCCTTTCCTGCACACACCCAGCAGGTCAAGCGCCCAGAGACGCAAACGATCGGTACT